CGGTCACAGATGCTGACGAAACGTTAGGAAACAAAACTTCAAGACCACGGCCACACAGCCCGGAAGACCCACACCAGCCACAATACTTGGCTTGTTGCTTGCAAAAGGTCACCTAAAGGGATTTCTTCTATCTGGGCTCAGAGGAAGTTACTGTAAAGGGTTGGAAAGATCACATAAAGCTACCATATGATTTTTGTCCCGTCTGTGGCTCTTGCTGGAAGGGACATTAAAGGCATGAGCATTTCCACTTACTGGCTCCTTCTCCTCCACTGTATTAAATGGCTTCTTTAAAGAAAGTTGCCTTTGCCTCAGATGAGGTTTTGCAACTTCTTCCAGGCCAAGGGCCACACTTGGCATTTGACTGGCATGTGAGCTGATCTGGTGTGGTTAATTTATGGATGCAACTTTTATTATTTATTTATTATTCCAATGTATATCAGAACCTGTCTCTCATTTAACATTTTTTTCTCTAATCATACCATGTTTTTATTCTTGTACTCCACCCAGAGTTTCTTCTGGGAGGGTAGAGATAGATAAATAGATGATAGATGTAGATAGATAGAAGATAGAAGAGGATGGATGGATGGATGGATGGATGGATGGATGGATGGATGGATGGATGATAGAAGCCAGGACAAAATTTAAGTTTGATTTTGTTTCATTTACATATCATTAAAATTAAATATAGTCAATCTCATACTCCACAATCATAATTGACCCTTCCCAATTGCTTTGAAAATTACAATATGGTAACATCTTTGGAAGGTTTCTGGGGCTGTGTTATGGCCTAAAGTCCCAACTGCTTACTCTGGCCTGAGGAATGTTGTTTGGGAACCCAGGAGAAGGATCCCAGACTGAAGCATGCCCAATTTATCTCCCTCCTATGCTGTTTGTTCCAGGATATTGTCAAAACAGAGCCCCTGGATGTGCTTGTAACTCCTGTCTGTCAGCAAGTGATGGTTGCTCTTCGGCACCTGAGGCAAGTACCAATGGCTATCCCCTTCTTTTAAAGTCAGCCCTGCATGGATCAGTCAGAGCCCAATTAAAGGTTGCAGAACCTGATTTTAGAGCCTACATTTAGTTCTGGAATACAAAATGTCTTTAAGCATGCACAGATGCCAGATCCTCACCTCCATATAATAAGAAGTCCTCATTGGTTGGGTTTGGACAATATGTGAAACTAAGTTACTGAATTAACACAATACATTGAACCATTAGCTTACCAAACCTAGCCAAGGTTACCACAATCCAAATTTTTTGGATATTTTGTGAATGCAGCCAGTAGGTCTTTAACTGAGCTGTTAAAGAAGCTGATATTTGAATCCAGAGAAAGGGACATTACCTCCCTCTGGCACTCACAATTCAGAAATTAATCTCTGGAACTTGCGTTCCTTTGATTTCTGTCCACTTGATGGCTGATAGGTATGTAAATAAGGAGATGCTGTAAAAAAAAACAACCCTTTGCCTTTTGGATGCTATATGGATGTCCTAGATGTGGGCATTCACAATAAGGAGACCACCACTGGCCATAATTGGCATCAGTTGGTGAATGTGGACATATGAACCAGCACATAGAGTTTTTGACTGATCTGATTTTGGAACCTGTGCTGAGATGTTAACAAAGGACAGTGACCAGCTCATATCATAGGGCCTAGTGGAGCTCTACTGTATCTTCCCTCAGGAACTGGGAGAGTCAAGGTACTGCTTTTTATTCTGAGTATTATTCTGTTTCTTCAGCAAGGTGCCAGAAGTGCTGAGCCATGAGGAGAACTGGAAGCTGGCAGAGGCCTGCCTGAGCCATGTCTTTGCCCTACCTCCTTTGGAGGTTGCAGAAGGTGCCAGTCAGGTAGGTACTTGTGCTGTGCGGTGAGGTTGCCTCCCTACAGAAAGAGGTGCTCCAAGGGATCATTGTAATCCCCTGCCTTTTCTGTACTAATGGGTGCTTCTGTCTTCTGCATTTCAGACTCTGTATACTGGCACTTTGGCTTCCTTGTCAGAGCTGATGGAGACCTTACTGAAGCCAGGAGGAGAAGAGGATGACCTTTCAGACTGGTTCCAGCAGATCTTCCAGGTGAGACGGACAGGAGAAGAACGTTATATCAACTTCTACACCTACCTTGGCTCCTGCCATGTTGTCCAAGCTCACTTCCCCTGCCCCATTCACGTTCTTTTCAGAGGGAGGCCTAGTGGGGAACTGCTGGGACTATGGAGCCAGCAAGACAAGAGGATGTTAGTTTAGACAGCACTGAATTAGAGATTGGTAATCTGAAGAAAGAAACTGATTTCTTTTGGCAAGTTTTCTGGAATCACCTGAGCAAAGAATGACAAGTAGTAGTGTTTGCATATCCCACCACTTCCAACACTCAGTGTTAATGTAGTCACGGATGGTTGCTTGTCTTCTAAAATCTACAGCTGTGTGTTTGGAGGACAGAAAGGCTCATTCCCCTAAATAACCAACACGGATTTGGGGGTGTGAGTTCAAAGGCAGGTTGTTCAGTTGAGAAGATGACATAAGAAAACCCTTGCTAGATCAGGCCAAGGGTGCATGAACAAAGAATTGCACCCAAGAAACAACCATGGATAGATGGCAATAGCCTTCTTCCACTGTTGCTCAGCAGCACTTGTTTATTTAAATAATATTGCCTATGGTTCAGGAGAGTATATAGAGTCATCAGGACTAGCAGTAATTCAGGCCTCTGTCCTCCATTAATTTCTCTAGTTTGCTTTTAAAACTATTTAAAGCTATATGATAGCAAATTCCACATTTAACTTGTATAAAGAAACACCACTTTTCATTGGTGCTAAAGGTCCTTGCATTTGATTCCAGTGAATAACCCTAGATTCTAATGGTGGATGATGTACCCTTCCACCTTCTCCACAGCTCTTGGGCTACTGGCTGGTGTCGGAGCATGAATGGGAACGTGCTCGGGCTATGCAGCTTGGCGTCCATCTGCTGAGAGTTCATTGCCAGAGGACTAAGGCTTCTGTGAGTATGGCCCAGCATCTGCCAAGTGATCCCTGGCCCAGCAAAGTATTCCCAGGGGGTATGCACTCTTGTTGTGGGAACCAACTCCATGAAGATTTGCTCCACGTTTCGCCACAGGAGCTTTTTGGAAATTGTTGCTTCCATCTGTAAAGATTCACCAAAATTTACCAACCCATTGCCTTTTTTTTTTTTTTTAATCTTTCACAGATCCCTCAGAGCCAGTTCAGCCATTTGGTTGCAATATTGGGTCCTTTCACTTATGACACACTGGGCACCATCCGTCATAGTGCTGGTAATTGCATTAGACTCCTGCTAAACATCCAGGGTGAGTTTAACAATGCAAGAGCTCTGCATGTGTGAACTTATGTAGTATTGCAGCCTCAATGAATGAACCCATTCAGCCATCTCAACCCACTAGACCATTGAATTCTGTGTAGAGCCCCATATTCAAGACAGCTAGTCCTTGGGTTACATCCATTTGTTCAGCAACCATTCTAATTTATGACATCGCTGAAAAAATGGACTTATGACCGGTCCCACACTTACAACCATTGCAGCATCCCCACAGTCACGTGATCAACATTTGAGCACTTGGTGACCAGCCCACATTCACGATTGTTGCAGCATCTTGCAGTCACATTCCCTTGCCCTGCGTAAACTGCCTCTGCTTCAACTCCCCCCACCTGCCTATCTCTCTCCCATCTCTGCCCTCTTGGCCACCCTGCACAGCATGGCTGAGATGAAGAGGCCGCTGTATTCCATCACCACAGCCTAGGAATCCTTTTAGCGGAAAGAGTCCAACCCACAGGGCTGTCCTCAGAGTAACCAGTAGGCACAGGCTGGGAAAAAAGCCATTTCTCACCTGCTCTCTCTAGGTAATGATCAGATAAAAGGGGGAGGAGCCCACAGCTGAATAAAAGAGACGGTGGGAGACTGATACTTTCAGACTCACAAGATTCTGTTAATGTAGCCTTATAATAAATTAGAATTAGCTCATCTTGTTGTGTTTTCTGTCTGGTGTACATCAATCTGGCAAGTCTGAAAGTATGAATCTCCCGCCATCTCTTTTTACAGCCTGATAAGTTAAGGTGGATCCTTCCTAAGTTTTTTTCTCTGCCTGTTATTCAGCTGTGGGCTCCCCCCTTTTATCTGATTGTTTCCTAGGCAGCATCTCTTCCCCTAGTCTCTCAAGGTCATTCCCACATACCATTACACCTCCATCTCGGCCATGCTGTGCAGGGTGGGCAAAAAGGTAGAGATGGGTGGGAGTTAGCAGGTGGGGGGAGTTGAAGCAGAGGCAGTTCGTGTAGGGCAGGAAAAGTGTGAGGTCCTTGCCTAACAACCATGTGGTCCTCGCTTAATGACCACAACTGGGACTGCTGGGACTGCCATCACTAAGCGGTGTGGTCACATGATGTTTCCCTTGATGACCACTTCATTTAGCAATGGAAATGCTGGTCCCAATTATGGTCATAACCCGAGGACTACCTGTAACAGAATAATCTAAAAAGGGTTAAGCAAAGAGGGTTGTATAGAAATCATGGAATGGAACTGATCATTCAGAAAGATTGTCCTGATATCCTCAGGGCTTTTGAGTCTTCCTGATTAAATTTTGGATAGTTGTGATTGTGCCCAGTCATGCTATCTCATACCAAAATCCCTGTCCTGAGTATAGGGACCCCGTCTGCTTTTCTTCATTGTCTTTTCCTTGGTTGTATGGAGCTAAGTTTTCAAATTATGACACACCCTTGCCACACTTCTAAATCTTACTGAGAAATTTTTATAGCTACAACATGAAATAATAGAGTGTAGCATCCAGCTAACTCCTTCCTTGTTCCTTCAGGAGCCACAATGTTGCATGAACGCAAAGTGCGTGTCAATCAACAGCGGCTGTACTCCATCCAAAGGGACCTTCAGAGTGAGAGTGCCGAGACAATGCACACTGCCTCTCTCCAGTTGGCCAAAGTACTAAAAATTGGACAGCTGCTTGTGTGTGTGTGCATATATATGTGCATGAATGCCTACAGATGTTTGGACTTCAGCTCCCACAATGGTCACTGCTGAGAATTCTGGGGATTGACTTTCACAGATTGGGGTATCATAGAGGACAGGTTCATGGAATCGCTCTCTGTCTCTTAAAGAGTGTTGTCAGTTTATAGCAAGGAACCTGGTGAAGCATATGTACTACTGCTGCTGCTGATAGAACCAATATAGACTAAGAAATGGAAGGATTGGTACCAGCTTTTCATCAAGTTTTTTGGACAGTCTTCCCCAACTGGGGCATCTTCCAAATGTGTAGACTCATCTCCCAGAATTGTCAGCAGTGGCCATGCTGGCTGGAAATTCTGGGAGTCGCAGTCCACGTAACTGGTGGAAAAGGCTGCTCTTAGTACTTCAGGAGCAGAAATTTAGAAGGTACCGCCAATAGGTGCAGCAATAAGAAAACAGTCTGTAATATGGTGGTTAAAACAAGGGTTGGAGAGTCTATGGCTCCAGAGCCCCCTTCTTTTTAAACAGTCCCCAGAGGTAAGATACAAATGCAAGCAAATTACTATGCAGTCCATTAAAAAGAAAACTCTTAAAACTGGGCCCACAAACCATGGGGGCATAACATGAAAATCTCAGCCTGACCCACATAGATAATATGATCTTGCCTGTTTTGTTTTGTTGTCCCACTTGGTGCTGAAAGGTGGTCAAAATCTTTGAAATGAGCATCCCACTTGGAGAAAATAAATCCAGAAAGTAGGTAATTTTTTTTTTAGGAGAAGAATCAGGTCACTTATAGCCCAGTTGGACACACACTGTAATGCAGGGTTTATCAGTCTTGGCAACTTTAAGACTGGACATGCTGGCTGGGGAATTCTGGGAGTTGAAGTCCACGCATCTTAAAGTTGCTAAGGTTGAGAAACACTGCTGTAATGTGAGAATCTCCCACTGCAATGGTATATGGGAATGACCTTGGGAGACAGGAGGAAGAGCCACAGACTGGACAACCATCATGTAAAAGGAATCTCAGTCCACAGAAGGAGAGGGGGCATGGGAAACGTTTCAGAAGGGACCTTCCCTAGTTTTCCGGAGAGTAAAAGGAGAGAAGGGGAGAAATACTTTCAGTCTTGCAAAATTCTGTTAATGTAACCTTACAATAAAGATAAAGTTACTGAGGTACTCTCATAGTCGTGCTTCAAGTCTGGACTACCTGGAAGGGCTAACACCCGCATCCAAACTAACTCAAGCCTGTGAGGTAGAAGAGATCTTGGATCTTCAAAGGCTGCTGATGTGTTAGAAAGAAAAATGCTCTGCTCAAGTTTGAAGAAAAGTATTATGAATCCCCTTTCACCAGGTCAAACAAAGGGCAGTGAAAACTGGTCCAGAGACCAAGCCCTTGCTCACAGGAAGCCCTGTATTCATATTCATGGCACAGCCTCAGAGAGTATTTGTTTCCTCTCTGTGTAACTTTCACACTGGTTATGAAGACAGAAAAAGGTAGGAGAAACATTTTCTATCCCTAAATAGCTCAATGGGTAGGATGGCTCATATAGGACAGCAGATGTTTCTGAATACAACTCCTGGAATCACTCATTATCATTATTATTTGATCCATTTCTATCCCACCCTTCTATCTAAGGGACATTCAAGGCAAGTTGCAGGAGGAAAGAGAAAAAAGGGGCTATATAGTATTCCTTTCCTAGTAGCAAATTAATTAGATGAAAAGTTAAACTCTAGACTAGCTCCCTTTGAGCCTAAGGACCCTCTGCTGTTTTTTTCTTTTTGATAAAAAGAGAGGAATAAAGAAATCCTTAGCTGAGCCAAGAGAGATTGTAGCAACGAATGTGTACTGTAGCTCTTGAATCCAATTCTTCTTTCCCAAGTGGTTTCCTTGGTGTAGAGGCCCTGCTGTAAGGATCCCAGGATATTCATGCACTACAGAAAAGTAGCATTGTATATGTTTCAGCTCTAGCAAAATTGTGAATTGTGAGTGTGCAACTCTCTGTAGCTGGGTCCAAATTCAGAGTGTATGCTCAAGAAAGGATGAGGTGATGGAGCTCTGGCTTAAGATGAAGCTCCTTTGAACCTTCTTTTCTCACATCCTGTTTCAGATTGTCAGCTGTGTCCTGCCTATCCAAGGAATCCTAACCTTCTTGCGCACTTTGCTGGAGCAACTGAGGACTGTGAACAGTGCCTGCGACATGGCTGCTCTCCTGTGGTTTGAGGTGACTGTGAAGGAGCGACAACCAGACTTAAAAGACAAGGTAAAACCTAAATCTGAAGAAACTAGGCCAAGAGCAATGAACCTCAGTCTTGTTCAAATGCAGTTCCAGACAGCATGGCCATTGGTGAGAGATGCTGGGGGTTGTAATTCAACAACAACCGCAGGGCCACAGGTTGTCCATCCCTTGATTAGATGATGGCTAGCAACCATTGACTGGCAAGGAAATGTTTACTCCTGCCCTACTCTGTGTTTCTTAAGGCTGATAAAAACAACATCATTCTTATCTCACTCAAATTCTAAAAGTCTGGCTAAAATAAGAAGAACTTGACTCCTTTCATGAAAGCAGGAAAATGGGGTCTGGGCGCATCTCCCAAGGGATGGGAGATGGTTCACAAGGTGCATAGCTTGTGAACAACACAGGTCTTTGCCCATGTGGCTGAGAAGCAGAATTTGAAAACAGGACCTGTTTAAGAGAGCTTCTCCTGTTAACCTTGTAGGTCCAGGCAGGTTCAAATTGAGGTAGGTAATCCCTCAAGTGGTCATGATCCTATTTCTGGCACTCCTCAAGGGTAGCCCCATGTAAAGTGCATTTCTGTAGTCAATTCATGATGTGCCTAAAGCATGTGTAACTGTCGCCAAATCCAACTGGTTTAGAAGCAGTCACAGCGTGTGTATGAGATCACAACTGCACCTCTTACTCCTGTTGCCATCTGGGACTCCAGAAGCATCTGTGGATCAAGGGGCATTCCTAACCTGAAGACTTCTGCTAGCAGCTGTTTCCTACCAACCAAAAGCACCTCCATCTTATCTGGATTTAATTTAAACTTTACTACCAAATTAAAATCTTTGCAGGTTAAGTCTTGAAGGACTAAGATTTTAGCGTCTTTCTAAAACTGAAAGTTGCTAGTGAATTTGTCAATTTGGGTTATTTTATAGAGTTTTCTAAGAATGAACAAAAATTATATAATTTGTTTTAGGTTCACATTTATATAAATGCATTCCAGCCATGAAGGAAATCTACAGATATAATTTCCTTGGTGATAATGGCCAGCTCTGGGCTTCTCCTTTTTCAGGTTCACAGTATGGTGGACATCATTTGTTCCTTCTGGCAATATTCAGAAGACTCGGCTCAGCGCCACTTCCTGGCCCAGGCCATCTGCCTTTTGGCTGAGCATCATCGCAAAGGAGTTTGTGTCTCGCTCCTGAAGCAACCCCTGCTTCAAGACAAGTGAGTGATAGGCACAGGGCTGGCCTTACCATTAGGCAGAAAGGCATGGGATGGTAGCAAATAAATGAAATCTGTTACTGTTGTATTTTTACTGCCTAGCAATCCTGGATAATACAGCATTTATATTGTTCCATGCAAAACTTCCATTGTAGATCTCCTTTCTGCTTCAATAATACTAAAGGACTCAAACATGGAAAGAGTCTAACTGTGACAATGACCTGGATGGATTCACATAACTAAACCCTAAATTTGGGTTAAGAAAACACAGTTCATAGGTGTGCAACCAAATTACTTGTATGCTTAAGGGAATGACCTGGTTTGCCCAATATGCTAAGACAATAACTAAGTTCCACAACAATTATGAAGCAGACTGTTTTAGCTTAGCCTAACATGCTGTGAGGATCCAGCCAATATACTGAGAAGTGGTAAGCTCAGTGGCAAGGAATTACAGGAGAAGTCAGCTTTCCTTTTAGGTTACTCTGTTTGTATGAGGCAAAGGCAGGGGGGAAGCAAAGACAACTAAGTTTTTTTCACTTATTTATATTGTAAACTGGAGCAGAGATCTGTCCTATTTGTTAATTCATTTATAAAATTTATAAAATGCTCCTGATGCTGTATAAATTAACGATTCACTACCATATTTTAAATACATTTTTCAAAAAAGGAGGCAATTCTTTGCACAAGATGCTGTCTCCAGACCTTCTCCTTGGGTAAGCCACGTTTTCCTCCTCTACTTTTCATTCCTGGATGCCTGCTTTAATTTATATCCTGCCTTTCATCAAAGGTGCTCAAGGTAATGTAAATGGGAGTTGTTCTCATTCTCTCTCCATAAATTCAGTGAAATAGGTCGGACTGGGAGATTGGGACAGGGCCAAAGTCATCAAGGGAGCTCCATGGTCAAATTAAGATCCCCTAATTCCAGTCTGACACCACCATACCAATCAACATAACCTTGCAGAAATAGCATGTAAAGGCACCTCTTATCTGACCATAGCCCAGGCGGCGGCTGCTCCTACCGTTTCTTGCGCTGTAAAAGCGAGGGGGAAGAGATGTACTTTCAGACTTGCATGATTCTATTACTGTAAACTTACAATAACGGCAGTGTTAGTACTCATGGTTGGTGCTTTTTGCCAGGATGACCTCTAAGGGCTGACACAAGGCTTCCAGTTGCCTCTCTCCTGGGCCGTGGGTCTTGAGAACGTTCAAGAATGGTAATTCTTGGCGCTGGGCTGGCAGGCTGCCATTCTCTCTAACTTGTCAACTTTTTTTCATCCCCAGAGCAAAGAAAGAACTCTGGGCATCACTTGCAACCTATAAAAACAGTGGTCCTTCCATCTTGAAGTATTTGCTCATGTGGATGAGAGTGGAAGGAAATGACACCCGCAGCTGCCTCTGGGTGAGAACTCTGGATTTGAGACTGAGGGACAATCAGTATTTCCAAGGTGGGGAGGCTGAGTTTCTGCTGATGGCCAGGAAGAGGGTAGAGTGGCTGGACAACTCATTTCTTAACAAATTGGAAGCCTCTAAGGATGTTGCATTGTCAGAGAGCTGTTGCTAGTCAGGGTCAACAATACTGGGCTAGGTGGACCAAGGATAGACCCAAGACAAATGTACTTAAATGTTCCATAATCCATATCTTTTTTCAGGGTCTTGGGGCTCTCCGTGAGGTAGTCTTGGCTATGGATGTTTCTGCCACGTTATTTCCATTACTCACAGAGCTGTGCTATGTTCTTCTGCAACAGTTCAGCAAAGATCAGGATGATGAGATGCCAACATCCTCTTTTTCTCCTCTGGAAAGCAATGGGAATCTTGAGACAGAGTTCGGGACACCTCATGGGTAACATTGTGCCCTTCTTGAAAGTGGACAGTTCCTTCTATACCTCTCTCCTTCATCCTTCTGGCACAACCAGGCCTAACTTTGTTGGATCTCTTCCTTTGGCCTGGTGTTTCTACCTTTTTGATAGAGGGAGGTTGCACTGCAGGTAGAGCTTTGGATTTGAAACTTTCTTCCCCTTAATGCGCGTTTGCCAGGAAAGCCTTCCCCACCTGCAATCCTGATTGCTGAAGGTGTGTGTGGCGCTAGCTAGCAGCCCTCAATTGGCTAGCAATCTCTTGCATGCAGAAGAGGCCTCTTGACAGTCATTTGGGGAAAATTACTCCATAGTTTTCATCTAGCAATAATTAAGGTGCTCGGTTGGGTTTTCACTTAATTATTCATTTATTACAATATTTATAAGCAGTCCTGTTGCTGCACTGATAGTGGCAGAAGTTTTGGGGGGATAAGGTGTGTTCCTGCCATCCCCTTAAAATCAAAGATCCATAGAAGGGCCAGCATCTCTCTTGACAGTCTAGTGCAGTGTCTCTCAACCTTGGCAGCTTGAAGATGTCTGGACTTCAACTCCCAGAATTCCCCAGCCAGCTATGCTGGGTGGGGAATTCTGGGATTTGAAGTCCAGACATCTTCAAGTTGCCAAGGTTGAGAAACACTCGTCTAGTGTCTAGTGGAAAGCATGAAGGTACCAGCCCTGCCCTCTCCCTGATCCTGCTATAAGGTGGTGGTTTTGGAGGCTAATGGAAGGTTGATGTGTCTGTTTCATTGAGCCATTGTAGCCATAAGCATCTGCTACTCATTCAAGTTTGGTGAGTGCGCCTCTTTATTTCTGTCTTTAATATATACATTTTAGATACAATGCTCCTCTTTAATTTCTGCCATTTTCGATATAATTTGTCAGGCTGGAATAGAAAATGCAAACTTAGAATGGCACTTCCAGATGGGGCTCCAATCTGATAAGGAATTGCAGTGAGCCTGCTGCTGATCAAATGATGCTGCAGCTGGTGCCTTGTAGATGCTCTCTGTTCCTCTTACTCATTCCATTTGGGGAACAGCAGGAACAAAGACAAAAACCATTCCCCTAACACTTGCAATTCCTGCTTCTAGGAGGGGCAATCTTTGTTTTTATGGGTGGAAAATCCAGCTCGCCTGTAGCACGCTGGTTTACAAAGGAGCCCAAATGCAGAGCTCCTGGCATATCACCATCAGTAGTGAAGGAATGATATGTGATGGGCCCAGAAATACCACAGTATATATCTTTTTAAGAAGTGGAAAGTGGAGCTGTTCAGCTGGGAACCAGAGGGAAGGGAGCAAGATGCTGGCAGCAGAGCTGTGGCTGGCAGATGGAATCTTGCACATACTGTAAATATGTCTGTCCCCATAGCGTCCAATATCTGCAGTGGCATTATTCAAAATTCTAGAATCGCTTCGTTTAGTATCTAGGTACAAAAGCAATTGCCTTAAGTTCAAGTGGATAAATGTTCATCTCTAATGTGAAATTAATATAAAACAGTTCCCCCTTAAAATTGCAACCTTGCTTGCTTTCTGATCTCTTTTCCCTTAAGTTCAATCATACTGTATCTCTTATTTGGGATCTGAGTTTATTTATTGTTATTTATTGTTAAGCTTGTATGCCGCCCATCTCCCCCAGCGGGTGACTCTGGGAGGCTCACAATAACAAAAAAGGAAAAAACACCAATCCCTCCAACAATGGCTAAAATCC